AAATACTTAAAAGAGTGAACTGAGTTGAATAAGAGCACATAAGATAATCTGAATGCAAGAAAACTAATTTTACTCCTGTGCTGTCACTCACATTGCCACATCAAACCTGCGTGAGAAAGCGTCTGACACTCTGTGAAGATGTCGTTCTCGAACACTTGCACACACCAAACACCCAGAACGCAGTGGGCTTGGTGAGCTGTGAGCTATCTATTCAGATGTTTAAGCACAATGTCCGCATGTCTCAGGGGATCAGGTTCAAGGAAGTCCCTCCAAAAAAATGACTGTAAAGCACATCAGACAAACATTCCTCCATGTCTTCTTGTCCTGTCTCCTACTTAACAGCTTTCAATGAAAATAGAGACAGAACCTTCTCAATGGCATGCATATATTGTGCAAAAAAACCCCGCCTATTTTGAAGTGTTGGGATTCACTTTAAAGGTAGCAGCTGACAGGTAAATGCTTTTGTTATCAGATTCTTTTGAACCAAACCTGCCGCCCTCTGTGACAGCTCGCACACATTTGTGAGTTATGGCAAAGTGAATTACTGTACAACATGCTTTTCCTGCTTGTGTTTGCCTGCTGTGCGCTCGTGTGTGTGTGTTCCTAACATCCGCTTATGCGTGTGTTTGAGCAAGGGAGACCTCTGCCATTGTTGGGCTTTTACATCCTGACAAGTGGAAGCCTGATGGGTTAAAAATAACCCAGCGCTTTCCAATTTTGTCATCTTTTGGGACTGCTTCGCTCGTCTGTTTTGATTTTTTGCGTGCGTCCCCCCGGAATGCTGCGGGTCACTGACGGCCACTTCCTGTCACATGGTTACTCATTGTAGTGCTGGCAAATGTCCCAAAACATACTGAAACATACTCAAAAATAGGACGGCAGGGAAGGAAAGGCTCGTGCTGTCACATTTCTAAAGTGCACACTAGGTAGCCCAGCTTAAATACTGTCAGTGAATGACAGCATTACTTTTTTTGTCTTATCTTCGAATTATCTTTTTTTCCCTCTGAGCTTCAGAAGATAAGTTTCATGAAGGGTTCTACACACGTGCAGAACAGAATTAGGCCACCGCTATAGAAAGAAATGACATGTAACAAAAAGATCAACATCATAGAAAGTTGCTTATAAAAGTATGCTGTTATCAATTCTGATGTCTCTGCAAAACAAAAGACTTAAAGTTAAACAGAGATTCACAATAGGATGTGCAGCCATCTTTGTGTGTGTGTCTCTGTGTGTATGTAAAACACAAGGAAAGCATGTGAGTTTTGTGCCTGTTTAAATAACCAAACAGCCAAATAGATGTGCATGCTATGCAAACAGCAGGCTATGTAAACTGCACTGCCGAGCTAAGCAAATGCATTATGCAACATGTTCTGGAGCATCAGATGCTTTTTGGCTGCAGACAGACGGACTCTGCTGAAATAAGGCTGATCTTAAATAGCCTTATTGTGTGGATAATCTTTCCTGTGCCTGATGGATACACATTTTAATCTAGAGTGGCTACCGTAAAGCAATTTTTTGCCTGTTGACAGGGTTTTTTTTGGTCGTTTTGTTTAAGGCCGCACAATTAATCGAAATATTATCAAAATCGCAATATGGTCAAATGCAATATGCAAATCGCATAAGCACTATGTAAATGGCAGAGGCTGCAATTTTCCAATAGTACTTGATAATATTAGATCCACAGCCACTGTGCCAGTACTGTAGTGCTGTAGAGATGCAGAGATGCCCTGGGCCAAGCTTCCACACCTGACCTGGTAGAGGTCAAACAGGCCGGTTCCTCATTGGTGCACACTATGTTGTCATATCAGGACGTAGCTGCTGATATTCTAATTGCAGCAGCTTAGTCAAAACACAAGTTAAACATTTTGTTCAGTGCCACCCACATCATCATGTTAACAGGTGGAGATTTTAAAGCCTCTCCAGTTCCACTGGCTCCAGCCAACCTGCTCTATCTGTTTACACAAAAAGCAAATGATCAGTGTTATCCAACCTCCGGTACTGTATCTCCGTGAGGCTCGGCCCAGCTGAGAGCCCTTTGCCAATGCTGGTTTTCTCCGGTCAACGTGGACATCCTCCCCAGCGTCCTCTCATCCAAACTTAGCCCGGGCACACGTCCAATCAAACGTCTCCTTTTGCTTCTCCTGTGGTTTGCCAAGTGGCAACTCTATAACTAACGTGTCAAGTCTCGTTTCAGTAAGCAGATCCTACATCAAAAAGACACAAATGCCAAAATGCCTCATGGTCGCCTATACACTATACTGTACAGGCTTATGGATACACATTCTTTCTTGAGACTTATTTGCAACCTTGTGAATGTATTTTATGATGTGCTTTTTGAGTTTGATACTTACGGATATTTGCTTATTTGCAGAGACTTACATGAGAAGATTGATGTCACACTTGTGTCTTTGTGTTGTATGGAGCTAAAAGCAGGAGGCATTTAACCTAGCTTAGCATTAAGACTGGAAACAGGGGCAAACAGCTAGCCTTTTGCCTCACACTTTGGTTTTTTTATGGGATCATCAAAAAATATATAATATGTTAATTAGTGAGCAGTGCTGTTTTTTGGACAGAGCAAGGCTAGCTGTAGCCTCTCGTTTCCAGTCTTTATGCTAAGCTAACTGGCTACTGGCTGCAGCTTCATAGTAATTCTGTACAGACATGAGAATGGTATCAATCAACTCATCTAAATGTCAGCAAGAAAGTGAGCAAGAGTGTACGGCATGAGATTATTTGTACATTTTGTACTCTTTCATCCTTTTTGAGCATTCAGAAAATGTCTATAAGTAAAACATTTTTTTTTTAGTTTTGTGCATCCAAAATCAATATTTTTAGTGATTAGTGAAGTGGACATTTTGACATTAGATCACCATTTTCATGTTTGTATTTTTGAGTTTTCTGTTGGCTTTGTCCAGATAGCCTCTCAGATATACTACTTATTGCCAGCAGCAACTAAGAGCTGTCTACTTGTTGTTTGGGTGTTGTTGTGTCTCCCTTGGCTGCTGTGTGTCTTTTTTTTTTTTTGTGGTCTGAAACTGCCAGACAGGGAGCCTCATTATTTGTTGGACTTGGACAGGTTTTTGGCACTACTAGGATTGACATTAATGGTTGATGTCATTTTGTATCCAGCTTATGGAGTGATTGTGACTTAGATCTTCTTAAAATGTGGGTTTGAGTGTCTGTATATATGTGTGCGTTTGTGCACGAGCCACTGTTTCTGCGGTGGTACGTGTGTGTGTGTGTGTGTGTGTGTGTGTGTGTGTGTGTGTGTGTGTGTGTGTGTGTGTGTGTGTGTGTGTGTGTGTGTGTGTGTGTGTGTGTGTGTGTGTGTGTGTGTGTGTGTGTTTTGTGGCTCCGCTGAGACAGTTTGGCACCCGGCCAGCTCAAACTGTCCGTCGCTTGGAAGGCTGGAAGTAATGGGCTCATTTCCCCAGTGTGGGACGGGAGGGGGACTGAATAAAAACAAGCGGGGGATGCCTGTGGACGCTGCGGGAATGACAACAGCACACAAGAGAGTCCGGCAGGAACACTCGGTGCTCCAAAACCCATTTCATAACTCGTCCTTATTCCAAATAACACAAGGAAGTGTCGAGCATTTTAATAAATGCCTGGAGGTCAGCCCCTTGGAGGCGGGTGGAGCCACGTTAGCACAAACTTCCCGTAAGAGGTGCACACAGGAGGGACAATGAAAACAAATACTATGTTAGGGACACCAGCATCTTAACATTCTGTGTCTCTAATCAACGGCTAGTGACTGTATCATCCTAAGAATCAGAATCAGAATCAGAAATACTTTAATGATCCCAGGGGGAAATTATTTAAGTATGTTTTTATTACCTCTTTACAATCTTGCAAAACCAGAAGGTTGTATGTGCTGCTGCTGTTTTGCAGCCATCAAAGACATCTGGCATTTAGATGTGATTAAAACTGTTTGTGTTGAATGAATGCCAATAGGGTTTCCGCTAGGGATTATTTTCATTGTTGATCATCTGCAGTTTATATTCTCAAATAATTGATTCATCGTTTGGTCTGAGAAACACCAGAAAACAGAATCTTTTTATCATAATGTAAGACAATAAAAAAACAGCAAATTTCAAAATGTTCGGTCTTACTGCTGGAAAAAATGACTTATCAAAATAGCAGCTGTTTAATTGTGTAGTTGTTGCAGCTCTGTATACCAAAAAAGACAAAGACACATTTGGTTAACAAAAAAAGTGACTTCCTTGAGTCATCAAATATTGCGCCACAAAACATGGACCAACTTAGCTGACTCATTTATTTTACTACACCCCTAGTGTTTGCTCTTTGTGACAACTGTGTTTGCATTCCATTTTGCAGCACGTTTCATTTCTGTTGTGGCAAATATGCAGTTTATAATGAATCTCATGCCAGCAGTTCCTTGGAAGTAATGGTATATCTAATTAGCATCTGTGGTACAAACTCTGCAGATGCAACCTTCACATACAAGTATATCTAACTGTGCACAGTGAAGTCAAGCTCGGCTCTCAATTCGATTTATCGTAAAAACAGCTGATGGCTCAGCTGATTCCCTTCATCCAATTGGCAAATGTCATTCAGGGCGCCTTATTTAAGTTGCTTTAGCACAATCTACTCTTGCTGCTACCTCTGCTGTATCTGAATTAATCAGTGTTATTTCTGTTGTCATTGATGATTGCTCTGTTCTGTTTCCTGGGGGCCTTAAGCTTTCCATGTATGCATATGGAAGGGCAGGGAGGTGTGCTCTCCCTGCCTTAGGTTTTCCACGCATGCATGTGGAAGGAGGTCCCAGAACAGAGCAATACTGCCAAATATAACATTCCGCATTTGGTTTTCTTTTGACAGGAGTGGTCCTGACTGAACTGTTATAACTAAAAGTGACACAAAAATAAAAGAAATACACATATCTGCTAATCTCTTTTGCTCCACACGCAGTCACGGCACACATAATCATTCTGTAAACCTCCTCCGGCTACTGATTTTTGTTTTTTGTCCCCCGTTAGACCCCTGTCTCATTGTGATGCCGCCATGCATGGGCGAGGCGGACCGCTTCAGTCTGGAGGCGCTGCGGCACATCCACAAACAGCTGGACGACGACAACGACGGGGGGATAGAGGTCAACGAGAGTGTGGAGGTGAGCTTTGTGAATGTTGCAATTTTTGGGTGTAAAGGAGGACGCTCAGCTTTCAGGACTGATGACATTGCACATGGGTTGTAAACAGCAGGTAATGCAAAACCTCTGACCTTTTAATAGTAATTTTCAACCCGGGGGTACCTCCTGACGGCCATTAGATGATTAAAGGGATAAGAGAATATTTAAGTATCTTTTTATTGAATTTTATATACATTTTATATACATTTAGCCATTTTCTTGTGAAATACTGAATTATTTTACCTATGAAGGCCTCTAAAAATCTGTGCAAATGCAATAATTTAGCTCTTTATCTTTTAAGACCTTATGATTAGTGAGTTTGAAAACCCTTTCTGAAATTGATTGGTCCTCATGCTCCGGTTCTCATATTGTGGATATTTGACCAATATTTCTTTCTTTCTGATGTTATCACCTCAACAAATATCTAATATTTTGTAGATCATTAGGTTAACTAAACCAAACCACTCGTAAACGCTTCGAGTGTTGACACAAGAATCCTCGTCTGTCAGCTCTGAAAGTGGATCGCCAGATAAAAGTAAATATTTACTTCACAAAGCTAGCAGTGAGTCACGGGTTGTGGCAGGGGGGTCAGGCTGTGTAGCTATCCTAAAAGTCAAATCATATTTTATATGAAGCCGTTACCGATCGGAGGAGAGAGCCAAGATGGTGGGGGCAATTTTAACATAGAGACACACAATCAGTGGCATTTTTACAGACCTTTTACTATCATTAAAAACTGTTGAAAGTGTAGTTTTATTTGGATTTTAGTTTCTATGCACGCATGCACAAATATATATATACACAATGACATAAGTTGAAATGAAGTTAAACTGAACCGCTAACAGACCCATAAAGTTGTCGTACAATCTGCTTGAAGAATGCTTGTAATGACAGTGGTAGTGTGTGTGTGTGTGTGTGTGTGTGTGTGTGTTTGTGGGGGTGGGGGGTCTGGAGACAGAAGGGACAGATATCTGTGAGTGACTGTGAGGGGTAGAAACGACACCTGAGAGCACTCTGACCCGCGGTGTCCTCTGCGTCTCTTGGTAATCAACAACCTCTTACGTTCAAAAGAAACCACTCGGGACCATGGTCACATTCTGTATGAGTGTGTGTGTGTGTGTGTGTGTGTGTGTGTGTGTGTGTGTGTGTGTGTGTGTGTGTGTGTGTGTGTGTGTGTGTTGGCAGGAGTCATTTTTAACTGTCTGAGAAGTGCTGGTGTGAGAAATGGTTATACCCTGCTGCCCTGCGTTGGCCCCTCAGTAAAAAGCTGGTTGCTGTATGCGTCCTGACTAAAGACCCCAGAGGGCTGCAGTGTTAGAACTGGCCCCCAGCCCGCATTAAGGCTGATGTGTGTCTGTGCATGTATCACTGATGCCTGTATGTGCTGCACTGTATAGGAGTGTGTTACAGATTGCCTCCCCCCCCTCCCGCCCTGTTTTCACCCTTTGTCTTTATAAGGGCAATGAGTCGTGTCAGCCCCAGTTGTTTTTGGCCGCTGCTCATTAGAGAGGATTTCCAAGCTTCTTCCCTGGGCTCTGGTGGCGGGCGGAGCAGGGTTTCATAACATGATGGATGCTCCTTTCATCAAATTAGTGGCTGTCTATCAGTTAGTTTTATGAAAGAAGGACTCTGTTGTGTGACCGGGAGCGAAACAAGTGGATTTTTTAGGTTAACTGATGTTAAGTGAAAAGCCATGTCTGTATGTTGCTGCCGGGGTTTTCGTCTGTACACTGTTGTAGATACTGTACACTGCATAAAATCTGTTCTGTGCAGCCATTTTGAAAACTTGTCACTTAATAATTAATATTTTCAGATTAAAAAAAAGCTCAAAATTTCAGGCTTAAAACATAGCATTTAATTCCTTTAAATATCTCAAAAATAACAAGATAGTACTGTTATTAGTCGTATAGTGCCGTGCCATCATTAGTCCTCTCTTGTATTGCCTGAACCCAAAAGCAAATACCCTTTGCATACAAAGTCCATCCAAGCGCATCAGGTGATTAAAGACACAGTAACAAAAGCAGACAGATGATCTGAGCTCTCGGACTTTAAAGCCTTCAGCGTGGGATTATGAGATTTACTGTATGTTTTACTTGACAACACTCAGTGAAAAATGTCCTTAAAAGACAGTTCAGCAAAAAGGAGGATGCAGCAAAAAAAAAAAAAAGCATTTTGTAGAGTTGTGGGTTCGAGCCAAAACGTCCTTGAGCGAGACGCTGAACCCCCAAATTGCTCTGCCCGTGTTGGCGTGTGAGGTTAAAAAATGTCACTTCATTTCACTGTCTGCTGTTTACAATGTCAGTCTCATCCTGGCAGCGATGAGTTGAAAGGAGTGACACGGTTACGAGGGAGGGTGACGAGCGCTCGCCCCTCAACCACCTGGCTGAAACCTTATACTCAGCCAACAAAGATCTCACTGGCACCTCCTGCTTCTTTCCCTTCTCTTATTACCCCTGCACACACGCACACACACACACACACACACACACACACACACACACACGCACCTTTATCCAAAAATCTGAGAGGATGACTAAAATGCGAGTCATATCTGTAATGTTATAGCTGTGATCAGGATATCCAGTTTTTCATTGCAGGCATTTCAGAGATTCTTATGCTGGTGGTAAAAATGACATTAGTGGTTTTTGGCTGATGCCAGATTACCTATTTGAGCACATTTGAGCTGTAAAGGTAATGATTTATGAATATTTTTACATTGTTTACATTATTTTTAAAGGCATTTCTGTTTTAAATCCAATATACTTTTGTATTTGAACAGGAAAGTACACAGTGGGTTTTTTTTTTTCAAGCCAAACTGCAAATAATTGTTCCATGTTCTCAAATACAGAGGTGGGACGTAACAAAGTACAAATGCTTCAGTACTGTACTTAGGTAGTTTTTTTTTTTATATCTGCACTTTGAGTATTTATTTTAACTTAAACCCCCTACATTTTTACACAAATGTCTGTACTTTCCTCTCTTTACATTTCAAAAACAGGCTTGCTACATCGTTATTAATGCATTTGAGGGGAATTATTGATCCTAATCTTTTTTACGTAACACAACAAAAATGCAGATAACGGCGTAAAAAAGATGTAGCGACGTAACATGATGAAAGAGACAAGAGAGGGAGACATGACCCTGTTTGAAGTTTCAGGTAAGTTTGCACAGAAACAGCCGGTAGAAAATGTCCTTCAGAGAAAGCAACAGAGTGCTTTTTACTTTTATACTTTGATACTTTGAGCACATTTCAGAGCCTGTACCTTTTTTTTTTGTAGAGAAGTTGAATCAAGTACTTCTACATTTACCAGAGTCACCAGTATCACAAGTATCTGTAATTCTACTTAAGTAAGAAAAAGCATACTTAAATAAGTGTACTTTTGCCACCTTTGCTCAAATGGATTTCCTAGTCGTTTATGATAGTAAAGTGTTACGATTATTGAAATAAAATGGCAACAATGTATAGAATAATCAAGAAAATAAACAGCTGGTTAAGTTATGGGTTGCAGCCATAAAGGTTGTGGGTCTTATTTCACCACATGATACTGTGAGCACATCTATGTACATACGTGACTCTCGGTTCATACATATCTGCTGTTCGAATCAAAACAGCATTAGATTGTATTAATGAGGCCCGCAGAAAGAAGAAAAACAAAGCCAGATAAATGCGACATTTTCAGTTTCTCTTTGTTCAGTCAGGCTTCAGACGGAGGTGCTTTCTTATCTCTTAGCTCTGTCTGGTGACCTTGCAAGCATCTTCAACTCGCCCATGAATTTTGGCTGCGATCCTAGCAGTTTGTTTGACATTATTATTTATTGTATTTTGATTGCAGGTAATTTGTCTGTTTTGCTGTCATGACAAGTGCTCGGTGGATAGAAAATGGCCTTATCTGTTAGTCGTGAGTTACCTGGTAACGCTGAAACATAAAATTTGTTTTATCCGTAAAGTTCATCTGTAACTATGTAATAACATCCATGGTTGATGCACTACAGGGAAATGAACCTTCGCAGACATGTTAACATCTACCCTTGTTTCACAGTTTATATCAGATAAACTATACACACACAGATGATTTACAGGTTGCTGAGTCACTGACATGAGTTGGATTGGTCACCGGCAGCAAAATGAACCAGAGCACTTGGCCTCTGCACCCATTAGCATGTGTACACACACATATTGACACTCTCCGTGGAGTGGCGAGGCGAGGAGAGCAAACAAGGAAGTGGCAAAGGCCGACAAGTATCTCGGTTCCCTTTTGCAGCTACAGCACACACTGACATGTCTCGTCACAAAGTTATCAGTCAGGATGTTGAACCAAAAAAAAAGGCTGTGGCTGCTTTTGAAGTTGGAGCTGAGTGTCGCTGCGGAACACAAATAGCTTTCGAGTGAAGCGAAAGGATAGATTTTTGTCAGAATCAGTTGGCGTGATGAGTGGAAAAGGACGATTTTGGCAGTTTTTTAAGCTGCACTATGCAATTTTATCAGAATTTCCCCACGCTCTCATGATTATATGGTATTTGAAGTTGTGTGAAATAGGTGTATTTATAATCTCAGCCCAGAAATCTCCCAGAAAGACCTTTGACAATGAGTACTCATAGTCTCAAAATCAAAAGTAATCACTTTTTTTTCTTTTTTTTTTCTACAGTCCTCCAAACGCATCTGTAATTTAACTACTGTGGAAGAATTTTATTAGGAATTAAATCTAGCTGTAATCCCGTGGAACACGATCCTGTCTCCGATGACTCTGTGAGTCTGGGTGTCTTCACTGTGGTTTTGAGTGACGTCCGGGGCGGGGGGGTCTGTTGCTGAGCTCTGTCACTGGGGGGGACGGCAGGTGCGCGCTGTCTCCTCAGGGTGCTGCGCTGCTCGCTGCCAAGGAGACGCTCGGCTGGATCGCGTTGCATCACTTTGAAATTGCAAGAACCCCAACCGGCTTTCGCAGCGGGGTGGCGATGGCGCTGCCTCTGTGTGGACTTTATTA